AGTATTCTTACACGGTCGTCCATCGCGCTGCAAGAAGCACCAAAATACAGACGTCTAGTCCCGTCGGGCACCAAAGCCATCGCCGCCAGACGTCCCAGCAACTGTCATTACGCTTGGCACTTCGGATGGTTCAGAGTAGGCGTCAGCCCAGGCCGCAGACTTATATACCCCCGATTTGTGATAGCCTACGCCATGTGGCTTTGAAACCGTCGAGCGAAGAGAGGAGGGCTCCAGTTGGGAAACTCGGCTTCGGTCAGCATGGAACAGCCTTCGCCTCTGTGACGGCGTGCTCTTTCTTCACTATTCCGACACTGACCTCCTGAAACGATTCACCCCACTCTTTCGCATCTCCAAAACGAGCCGGGTAACGCCGGCCAGGCTCGCATCGACATCGCCGCGAGTCAATGGTTTTGGTGTCCAAATCAACGATGGATTATGCAAGACATCCGTAACACCTGCCTCGTATGTACGGAGGTCAAATATCTCGACCTAGCACATCGCGCACCACTCCAGCCCATTCAGGCCGGGTATCCTAGCGAAAATGTTGGCATGGACCTGAGGGGTCTGATGCCCCCTCCTCATCTGGGCAATCGCTACATTCTCGTTTTAGTCTACTTATTCAACAAGTGGTGCGAAGCAGTTCCCAGTCCCCGGGCCGACGCTGTTACGGTTGCGAGGGCCATCCTTAACGAGTGGATCTGCCGACATGGCGTCCCCAAGCAACTCCATTCAGATCGGGATGCTCTGGGCCGATGGAAGAACTCTGCTAGATCCTTCGCACTCGGAAATCTTGGCTTACTCCTTAGCACCCTCATGATAATGGGCAGGTGGAGCACACGAACCAAACACTGAAAACGTTAATACAATCTTTTGTGGACAGCTTCCCACGTTTTTTTGGGGATGTTTTGCTAGTAGAGCTCATACTGAAATCGCTGAATGCGAAGGACTTTAAAGCACCAAGGCAACACAAAATCAGTTTGGTCAAAAGGGTGTTCGGTGATGTGGACGTTAGAAAAGTTCAAACTGGAACTTCGTAGGTACACAATACCTCATCAGACAAAGTTCGAGTTAAAAAGATTTCAAATTGCACGGGGAGCCACTTGGTCAGTAGTTCATCTAGTTGACGTAATTTATATTAATCTTCCTCTGATTTTCCTCGGCGGGCAGTGTAATTAAATTTTCCGTTCGATATTGTACATGCACATACTATTAGATATAATCGGGGTGTCTGATGCTTTTTCATTTGCCAAATAGAGCCTGTAGCTGCTCCTAATGAAAATATTTATGATGGTAGACGCTTTCAATTTGAGTCTGCGCGCAAAATGCGAAATTTTCCATTGTGAAATAATTAGGCAAGTGGTGTGCTTTATTCTTTTAACAAACACTTTCCAGCTTTGTGCGTTCCCCGGTTCCTGCGCAGTCTTCGGACTATGTCAAGTTTTCGAGGCATTACGAAATGTTCCCGTCAGCTTTCCCCACGTCACGGCTTTGGCTTGCAAACTCAATGAAATATCGTTTAAATGTCGCAGGTTTCCATTTATCATTCAGAAAAAAGGGAATAACTAGCTCCCGTAGTTCAGAGGGCAGACCACGCAAAAGGATTTCGGGAGCTTTATAATTTGAAATAGGTTCCTATACTTCCGTTTTATTGAATTACGGCTATATGTATCGTCATAGCTACTTCTCACCCGCCAACGGCATTGAGCTCCTTAATGTCAGAGGGCCTTTCATCTACCGATGTGTATAACCAAGAGCAAGCGAATGCGTCTGAATTTGCTAGCCACGAAAGGGAAATCTCAGATTATCTGTACAATAAACAGGCATGGGTTCTCGGATTCCGGAAGGCAGAGCAAGCGGCGTAAATTCGAGTGATCTCTTCTTTGACACATAATCATGTTCCATTCAGCTCAGCGTTACGTACAGAATTTTGTAATTTTCCAGTTGGATTCGTTCAAAAGCTATTTGGCCAGTATTTAACGAGCCATAGCGTCTGAGGTAAAAAAGGAAATGAAGGTCAAGAAGGTATTTAACTACCGCGTGTTTGTAATGGCCAAGGGCACTGTCATCAGCGTATCTGACCAGTCACTGTTGAGGTGACGAAGTAAGCTGGCGCTTCGCTATCGTTAAGAGGAAGAGCCAATACAAAATTGCCCGATGTAAAAGACTGTGATAGAAAAGAGAGCGGTAGTTTGATAGACGCGAAATAAACCCAACCAGGAGAGTGATACAATAAGCGATTTTTCGGTAGAATAGTACTAAATACAGGCTGATTATAAGCCGGAAATGGTTATTCTATTCTCCTTCCTCTTTTTCGTTACCACCATAGCTCCCTAAACACAGAATTGCACAAGCACAGGAATTACGGCAATAGTCTACAACCCCAAACAGCAAACGACCAATCAGATGCGTGGAATCTGAAAACTGTCACGTTGTTGATAGGTAAATCTCAGAGGAGGCAGAGTCAACACAGAAGAATGACGGGACAAATGGAAAGTTGTCTAGTTCCGTAAACTTAAAAAGCACTAAATATGCAAGCAGGACGTAGTTTGCTGTTATAATTGCAGCAAAATAAGTGGAATTAGAAAATATGATTAACAGAGATCTACCACGTTGAATGAAATCACTCTGTTTTTAGGATTAGGATATATTCTGCCTAAAGCCGGGCATTGTAGGTTCCGATGCAGAAAGACGCTAACGTATAAGCCGAACCTGGTGCAGGACGAACAGAATGGGACTGGAGAGATCCTGCCACTAATATTGAAGCTGGAATTAGGGAGGTGAATAAAATGTTCGTCAGAGTCAAGAATTGTCATTCAATGTGAAAAAAACTTGGCATGAACTGAAACATCGCCAGAACTTACGATACATGCCTACGAAGGAGTAGTCAGCAGCGCACTTATCAGCGTTTGCCTGTGTCAGTAAATGGCATTGATCAGTGACATGGTCGAAAGTTTCCCCTCTGTTTATAGAAGAATAGTAGTAAGGACTGGAGGGTGTAGTGTAAGCAAAGGAAACGGAAATGGCGATAGCAAAAGATGACGATGGTGAAGGGGAACGGAAGCGAAACGAAGGGGGACGAGGAGATTTAACTCAGCTTTCAATCGAGTCAGTGACGAGCTCGAGATCCTCTTTTCCTTGTTTGTAAAACAATATTAACAAGAGGTATGGGAGGGGAGGGGTAAATGAGACGGACATGAAAAGTGCCAAAGACAATGACCAGCAGAACCAGGAAGGGCAGACATAAGGAAGAAAAAGAAGGCGGTGACTGCGGCGACCGCTTCGGCAACAGCCCTTTTATAAGTCCAATCTGCACAAAATAGACGCATGTTGTCATTCTGTCAAATGAGCGGGGGTTGCAGCAGTATCATTTACAGCCCATTTCCAGCGAGTTCAGAGTAAATCGTTGACAATAAGTTCTTTAGCTTAAGCGAATACATGCACAAAAGTCCGCTGAGCATTCCATGGATTTTACACCGTATCGACATTTAAGGGTCAACAAATGTTATCGACTAATGCAAAGGCTGTAGTGCTGCTGTGCGTTCGCCAACCAGACGCGTAGTAAGTTCAGACCATAAAGAGCTGGCCCTTCTGTGATACTGGGTCCTACCTTAATTGTTCTACCACTCATCTGGGAGATAGCAGTCACAAAGGCTGCAATCGAACCTGTAAAGTCACACGGACCCGGATGTACTAAATCCCGCAAAAATACAGGAGGGAATACGTATGATTCCTTCATGTACTCAAGTCTCGTAGGCAGTCGGATTGCCACTAGGATGCAGCTATCGCTGTTGTATGGCCATCTTTGAGGGATCACTCCCATCTTCCACGATATAGCTGTAAGCTTACTTTCAGACCATCAACCAGGAGTTTGGATATTGCATATTGAAGTCTGTCGCAATTTCCATCTCCTTAATGTTAAAGAGACATATTCAGTGCGGACGGAAATCGGCCAATGCTCTCGCAATAAGAACAACTAAGAAGTGCTAATACGGTGACATCAATCGCACACTTTGATTGTTGGTGCATTCATCGACTTTGGCGAACTGAGTTCACAGTCCTCGGTGTGGACCTTGCTCAATCAATGATGCCGAATACAGGCCTTATGTAGTCGTTATCTCTGTCCGTTGCTGTCTCCGATAATGGTTTTGAGAGCGGATCGTAAAAGTCAAGTGAGTAAAAATCAAATCCCCTTCCTATTAGCTGCTTCTTGAAAGTCAGTTCTCCTCGGTGCGAGCAAGTGAAATTTCGACTGTCGCTTCCGACGAGGTTTGCCCTGTGCGCCACAGCCATTGTGGTTTTCGACGTCACCGTGGCACCACTGACATGATATTTGCTGCACGTCCGCTGCAGAAGAAATATCAGGAGATGCGGACTCACCTCCACACTACGTTCGTGGACCTGACAAAAGCCTTCGACACGGTGAACCGCCCTGGACTTTGGAAAGTTATGCAGAAGTTTGTTTGTCCGGAGCATTTCACCTACATGGTACGACAACTCCATGACTGGATGATGGCGCGCGTCACAGACTGCGGAACACTGTCTGAAGCCTTCGCAGTGACCAACAGAGAGAAGCAGGGCTGTGTCCTCGCGCCCACCCTTTCCAGTCTCATGTTCTCTGCCATGCTGATGGACGCCTACCGTGACGAACGTCCCGGAATCCCCGTCAACTACAGAACTGACGGAAATCTCCTCAACATTCGTCGGATACAGGCCCCAACGCGCGTCTCCACTACCACAGTTTATGATCTGCTGTTTGCGGACGACTGCGCTCTCAACACCACAACAGAAGCGGA